GCTGCCTTCACACCCTCCTTACTCTCCTAGTGCACAGGGCTCGGAGAAAGGCCGGGCAAAGTGGATGCTGCTGGCAGCCAATTCTTACATAACACACGAGGTGCTTGGTCAAGACAGAACACGTTGCCATTCAAGACACGACCAGCCTGCTGAGTGGAGCAGACTTTGGCTGCTTCACCAGCTGAGGGGTCTGGAATTTCTCAAAAGCCCTGAGCAACGGCTACAGAATCTTCTGTCCATTTGTCTCAAAAGTTCTTAGGAACAGAGGCAGAAGCTGACCAGAAGGACTGCTGATTACGCAGTGACAGGACGGGGGCTGGGCCGGGGCAGGAGCCAGGCTCTGACCTCCACTCTTGCCAGCTTCCATGTGAGTTTTTCTTTAATCCAGGGGAGACACACACAGTGGCTGTCTCCTGAGATCTAAACCCATTTAATGTGGAAGAGGCCACAGGTTTGTGTGGCTCCTGAGTTCGAGGGAGGCAGATTTGGCTCAATATTAGGAAAAGATCATAAACTCCAGACCTCCAGCCAGCAGGGCAGAGAGGTAGTGAGCCTCCCGCCACGGCAGGCATGCAAGCACGGCTGACCCAACCTGCCAGGGAGGCTGCCGTGGGTTCCAGGGGACACCAAGGCCCCCTCCCACTCAGCGTCTTCTGGTCCCAACTCCTTCGCCTGCGCAGGTTTAGACGTGTCACGCAAGACGACCTCATGGGAGCTGGGGGTGCACCAGGGAGCAAACTGTGAAGCAGGCTCTGCTGAACAAGCTCTGTGCTCCCCACGCGGGTCCAGGTGGGAGCACAGCCCGTTGGGGGGGAGACGCAAGAGGGAGGGGCCTCGGGGAAAGCCCGTGGCCAGGACGTGCAGGCACCTATGGTCTGAAGGAGCCGTCCTGGGGGAAGGATGAGTTAGAAGCGCCAAGGGGAGGCTGTGAGGAGGCTGCTGCCCCTGCCCGGTGCGGGTGACGCAGCCTGGGTCTGGCCTCCGCCCTCGGTGATGGGGGGCCGCGGGCAGCCTTGGACATGGGTGGGAGCGTGTTCACGAGGGCCTGGTGTGGCAGGAGCACCCACAGGTGCCCACGTCCAAGCCCTTGGGGAGACCTGGCGCCAACGCAACACCCACCCACCCACCCAGCCAGCTGCGGCCCCGGTGACATTCAGGTCCTTCCAGCTTGTCCGGAGAGCGGGCCCAGGAGGCCAGCACAGAGCAGAGGCAGAGAAGTGCTCGCCAGGTCCCAGAGCCCTGGGGAGGCAGGGCCCGGGGCCGAGCCCCGATCCCACAGCACGTGGGGCCACAGCGGGGAGGCTCTGGAGGGCGATCTTGACTTGCTCTCAGCTCAGAACCCCACAGCCAAAGCCTCGAGGAGCTCAGAAAGGCCCCATCTCTGGGCTGTCTTAGCAGAACACCTCTAGGCTTGCGTCCCACCTCTACCCACATCTGGGCCCAACTCCAGGCCAGGCCAGGAGCTACCGTGCTGCCTGGTCCTTCAGCCAGGCTGGAGCAAGTTACAGCTCAGACAGGGGAGGGCAGGGGGTGGAGGGCCAGGGCTGCCCGGGCTCTCGTCGGCTGTGGGCGCGGGCTGCCTGCCTCCCAGGAGGATACAGGGATGTGGAGCATGCGGCTGGGCACCCACCTGCCCCGGGCTGACGCTGCCCGAATGTCTTTGCACCGGGACGGTTCTTTGTGGCTATGCCCTTGCAGTCGGCCCTTCACGGGGCACCAGAACTGGCTCTGGGAGGAGTTCCCGGCCAGCTGGAGTGGGAGGCCTCGGACACCCCCGGCATCTTGGCAGATAAGGAACCAGCAGCCCTGCGCACGGAGCACCCAGCTCTCCCTGGCCGCCACCCAAGTGGTGTGAGCTCCGCTGGGCAGGAAGGGGCCCCCAAGTTAGTTAACACATTTCCAGCAAGGCTTTCGTGGCTCCCCGAACAGGCGCTGCTGCTCCCCTGGGTGGGACGGGGTTAATGCCCCGGCCACTCCCTTGGCTGGCGAGGTTTTTCCTAAGCGCTGGATTTTTCCTCTCTCCTCCCCTCTGCTCTGGGCCTCTCTGCCGACACTCAGTTGCCCGCGCCGCCCCTCCCCCAGGACATGCGGCCGGCTGTCGGCTACGCGCCCTTTCCGCAGACTCCGGGGTTTTCCATCCATCGTCACCAGTCTGGGGCCGAGGCATCCTGGGCCTGCTGTCGTCTTCTTCCAGCCGCGTCTGGTCCTAGGTTGGCTTCTTCTGGAGGCTGGGCCTGACACCACAGCCCCTGCGGCTGCCGGGCCCACATGTGGCCTCAGCAGACGTGGCAGGCGGGGGAGGGCCAGGTCCGTGCCCGGACGGCAGGCCGCGCCCCCAAGCAGCGCTGTGAGTGAAAGGCTGAGGCCGGCAGGGCTCTAGGGCCCGAGCACCGGGTCGCTGGGCAATGGTGGACCTGAGCAGGGTGCCACAGCCTCACCGGGTCTCAAGCCGCATCTGGGAAACGGCGCCAGGAATCCCTGTGCGTGTGGATTCTGGTTCAGCGCATGACTCTTCAAGAACCCTCCACAAGGCCCCGACCTTTCCATCAACACGCTTTCCCCCAAATGAGTCCTTCCTTGGGAAGCCCAGTCTCAAGGCAGCGTTTTCCTCGGAGTGTGACACCAGCGGACACGGATCCCCTGCAGTCAGGATGAAAGAGGGCCCCTCACAGAGAGACAAGCACCCATTAGCAGGGTGCCCGGCGGCGGCGGGGGCGGCTGGAGAAGTGACACACAGGAAGAGATTTCAGGAGACACATTCGCCCGAGCCAGACACAAGACCGGGGAGCCCATCCCCTTCCAGCTCCCGACTTGGGCTGGGCCACAGAGCCCCCAAGGCCGGGATGGCCCGCTCACCGTGGTCCGCCCCCCACGACGTCCTGCCCTGACCCCCTGCAGTCTCCTCATTCCACGCCCTGCCCCCTCCCGAAGTGCTGTGGGGCTCTGGGCCCTGGGAAACAGTTTTGGAAGATTTCAGAACCAAAACAGTTTTCAACCAAACCTTTTAGAAACCCAGACCACTTTAAAAAGCCAACCCACTTTGAAACCCGACACTTTAAATCCACTTTTCAAAGACGTGCCCCGAAGTTTTGAAAGAAAAATTTTCTGGAAACCTACTGGAAGCAAGAGACTCTGGAAGAAAACCAACTGAAAATGGCAAAACGGCCTCTTCCGGGTGGTTTTTAAGCCCCCAACTTTTGTAACTGCTTTGAAGCAAAGGTGGTTTTGTCAAAGCCATAGTTTCCGCTAGAATTTTCCTGGGAAGCAGCTCAGACGTTTGAACTGGGCTTGCCTGTTCCGCACGGACACGCATCAGGCTGTAAGCAGGGGTTGTGCCCGGCTCCTGGGAGGAGGCCTGGAACTTCGGCTCGCACACTTCTCTCTCAGCTCTCCGCCCAGCAACGCCTCCCGCGTCTCCTTCCCGAAGCTGGCAGAAACCTCCCCCCAAAGCCACGCATCGGAGTCTGTCCCCACTAGCCCGTGGCTCTTCCTTCCTGGGGTCTGCGCCCGCCTCGGTGCTGGAGGAAGAGGCGCCAGTACCAGCACTCCTGGCCCGGGGCGCAGCTGGGCGGCGGGGGCGGAGCAGAGGCGAGCGCTTTGAAGTCCTGTCCCCCCACACTCGGAGCTGTCACTTGATCTCTCATCTTCAGTTTTCATTCCTTGACAAGCGCAGGAAGCACCCCTGGGTACGGGTCTGGGGGAGCGCATTCCGCCCCCACCCCGGCCCCCGGTGTGAAGGCAGATGGGGAGTGAGGAGCCGGGAAGGGCGCGCTGAAGTACGGGGTCACACGGATGCCCTGGCTAGCGAGGTAGTGGTGTGCGGGTCCCAGTTGCTGCCACCCGGGTTTGGGTTACGCCACTGTTGTCACGTTTCTCATCTGTCTGGAGTGGACACGTAGCACTCCCAGGGGCCTGTTTTCTCCTAGGGAGAGTGACCTCCCTGCTTTGCCGTGAGACCACCGGGGTGCCAGGTGCTCCCAGCTGCTGGCGGCGTCGCCCAGGACAGGTCTTCCGAGCCATCTGTACGTCAGCAAGGGAGGGAAGGTGCCATCTCTGTCAGAGGAGGCTCGCCCAGCCTGCGGTTCGAGGGCTAAGAGACGAGGCCTCTGGGCGGCCCAGCAGAAGCTGCCCTGCGGGGCCTCAGAGCAGTGCTTTGCTCACGGCACCGCGCCGGCTGGCCCACCGGGGCAGAGGCTGAGGGCCACCGCCACAGCAATGCGAGGGCGGTGACAGCAGCGTGCCCTGATTATTGTAGCTGTACGTGGACCCAGCTGTGGCATGCCCGCCATGTGCTGCTCTCACATGTTATCATCTGTAAACATTTCTGGCAATAAAAAGCATGGAAATACAGTTCTGCAAACAATCAAATACAGAATTACCACTTCTGGGTCTGTACCCCAAAGAACCGAAAGCAGGTATCTGCACACCCACCTTCCTGGCAGCATTACTCACAGCAGCCAAAAGGCGGGAGCCACCCAAGTGCCCATCAACCAATAACGGGCACAGTGCGGTCCGTCCACACAATGGAATATTACTTAGCCTTAAAAAGGAAGGAGGTTCTGACACAGGCCACAGCATGGGTGAGCCTTGGGGCATTATGCTCTGTGAAACAAGAGACACAGAAGGACGAATACGGTGACTCTGCTCACATGGCGTCCCTGGAGGAGTCAGATTCAGGACGCAAAGTAGCAGGAAGGGTGCTGGGGCCTGGGGAGGGGGCCGGGGGCAGAGTCTCAGTGTGGGAAGATGAATGAGTTCTGGAGGTGGATGGTGGTGATGGCTGCACAACAATGTGAATATGAATTTAATGCTTCTGAACTGGACACTTAAAAATGGCTTTAAAAAGGTAAATTTTATGCTATGTGCATCTTACCACAATTTTTAAAAGATGTGAAATTAACACCAATTGAAACCATCACCAACACCCAGCTCATCCAAGAAAATGTATTCACGAGGTCAACTTTCTTTTTTCATTCTCCTGAACAGAATGGCCAGCCATCTAATGATAAAATAACCAGCTTTATTATTATTATTATTTTACTGGGTGAAAGAGCATTTTAAAGATTCCTACTCCAGATTTGCTTAAAAGGTGAACTCTAGCCCCGGCAGGAGCCCTGAGACTGGAAGTCCCTGCCGGCGCCGCCCGCTCCCTGGATGTGGCCTCAGGTCCTGCGGCACTGGGAGAGCCCAGCGGCCAGGGGAGGGTGCCGGCCACAGCTGCCAGTCGCCTCTCCCACCTGGGAAGGTCTGGGTGCTGGCCCAGCCGCGACATGCTCTTCCCTTCGCGCTCTGGTCTTCCCCACCCCACCCCGTGCCTGCGGGAATTCTTGGTCTGAGCCGGGCCCTGCTGACCAAGCCAGGGCACCAGCCGAGCACAAGCCCTTGCACTTTGGAGCTCCTGGAACATGAACAGCAGAGCGCTGCCCGGGAGCCGGGAGCCGGGAGTGGGACCGGGTCTCTGCTCGCCGACCTGACGATCTGGGTGGGGCGCAGGGGGGGAAGAGGTGGGGCTTTTCTTGCACCTTTTCTCAGGCAAGGCTCCGGAGCGGCTTAGGCACACACTTGCTGCTCCTCCTGGGCCTGCAGAGGTGAAGGCACAAGACGCACTGTTGGCCCCTGCCCGAGACAAAGCCACAAGGAGACACAGACCCCAGCAGGGCCCCCAGGCCTCTGCTGCACGGCGTGCCCCATCAGAGCCCCTAGCCGTGGTGGGCTCCTTGTGAATTCCGACTGTGAGAACCTTCTACTGGTGTGGTGATGTATCAGCGCACACAGAAAGGAGGGAACCTCGAGTATGAGAGTCGACGCACAGACCAGTGTGCTGAGCCCTTTGCCCCAGGCGCCTCTGCTGACCAGCAGGGCCGGCACCAGCCCTGGGCCCCATTCCCTTCAAAGGTCAGCCCCCTCCCACTCAAACCAGCACCCAGCCGAAGCGTGCCCAGTCCCCCGAGTACCAGGAAAGTGCTGGATGCCCAGCCTCTGAGTTCTGGTCAAGCAATTCCCAAAGACCTCAGCTGTACTTTCCAGACCCACCTCTTCAGACCCAGCCCACACGCTGAGTCCTGCCAGCCTCCAACCAGGCCTGCACGCTCCAACGCTCAAAATCCATCAAGTGCAGATGCAGTCCGCGTTCACTCATCACGGACAAGCCCCATCCGCCAGCATGACGGTGCCGGCACCGTGAGAAAATGCCCGCCAGATGGCGGCCAGGACGGCCAGCTTGAATCATCCCAGGCAGGCACAAAGAATGACATCCGCTGCATTGGAAGCTCGCAAGGGTAAAGACAGAGAAGGTTCAAATCAGGGGCCTCCCTCGTTAGCTGCCCTCTGGGTGATGCGTGGGGAAGAACTCCCGCGGGAAGCGTCCCAGTCCCACCGCCCTCTGCGGGTCGGAACTGCTACCCCGCGGGGGGCCTCTGCACCCGTCACCGGGTCTTGGCAGGGTACGCAAGCATCTTCGGTTCTGGGGTGCTGAGAAACTGCTCACACCTGTATGAACGAGAGCCACTCTCAGGTCAGTGGTTTCTCTTCACTAACGGACCCTCCTTCACCCGGGTTTGTCAGATGCCAAGGTGGTGATTAACAGTGCGTCAGGATCCCGTATGTAAACGTTAGAAATCCGGCTCAAATGAACTTAAGCGAGCGGAAATGATCGGCCCCACCACGCCTGCGGAGTGCAAGTGGCTCCGGCGTCAGTTGGCACACCCCCCCGCCCTCCTCTCAGCCCTGTGCCCTCCCTGGGAGCCCTGTGCCCTCCCTGTGTGCTCTGGGTCTTCTGGGAGCGGCCCAGCTGGTCGTGGCTCTCGGCTCCTGTCCCATCCGTCTGGTAAAGCCCCTACCTGGACTTCCAGCTGAGGTGACTGGGACCAGTGGGTCCAGGTTGGGCTGTGAGCCCCGCCAGGGCTCAGGTGTGGGCTGAGCGCGCTGGGGGGAGAGACAGGCTCTTTGACCAGAAGGAGAAATGTGTGTCGGCAAAAACAACCGATGTCTACCGGCAGCAGACCTTCCAAATTTTCCCTTTGGGAGACGCTTTAAACATTTTAGATGAATTATGTCTATGTTATCCAAGTTCTACCTGTTTGTATTTTTAGGTTTTGGAGTGTAGGGTGGGCAGAAAAGGAAGCACAGTTTATAAATAAATGGGCAGTAATGACCTCTGTATAACACGCTTGGGCGAGCAGACCCCCTCGGGTCTGTGAGGCATCTGGAAGCCTGTTACCTTGCAGGACGTCCCATCCCAAGCCGACCCTCCGAGTGGCTCTCTTGTCCGAGTGGGGAGAGCGTACACTGAGGAGCAAGTCCCAGCAGACACCGAGCTTCCTTCCAGAGAAACTTAAGGAGAAGGCTCTGGGGATGTTGGTGCAGCCACGAAGTCCTGCCACTGGGAATGCGGTCGGTGTCACGTTCAACAAACAGGGCCAGGACAGCTGGCGCTGAGCTAGAAGCCCCGCAAAGGTGCAGCGGAGGCGGCTGACATCTGTGCCCAGGGCAGCAGAGGTGCCGGCCAAGGATCGGACCAGCACATTCACAGAACGCACACTTCACCATGGGGCCTTGGACGTCCACGAGCTCCCTGCACTGCCAGGGCCGGACCGGCCAGCCTGCATCCTCCACTCTGGGCTCCAGCCCGCAAGGCCTCTCGAGGGGCAGCGAACAGAGAGGGTGGCCTGGCCAGCCCGATGGACACAGGCTTCTGTCAGTAGAGGGCTGCGGGAGACCAGGGTGGGGTACAGCAATCCTCACCCTCCCTGGGAGGAAAGGGGGAGCGACAGCATCCGTCGAAGGGGAGAGCGACTGCAGGCAGGGCGTAAAAACATCACTAGCCTCTAAATCAGGTGAGCCCCTGACACTCCCAGAAGTACTGCACCTTATCTTCAAGAGCCCCGCAGACAACACAGCGCTTACAAGGTGCCAGGAGCCAGAGGCAGCAAGCCTGGAGCCCACTAAGGGACAGTCACTGGACCCCCACTAGCCTTGGCCCCCTAATTATTAGACACTCGGGGAGAGTGACAGCAGCCCTCCTGGCTCACGGCCGGAACGAGGCTCAAATGACGTCACCCACTCACTCATTTGCTCATTCAATAAACAGTCACCGTGTGCCCACGGTGGGCCAGGCCCTGCTCTAGGCACCGGATGACTGGGATGGAGACTAAACCGTGGTGGGGACCACTGCCCATGTCTAAGTGCAGAGACTGGGTACTGATAAAACCCAGGACTACTGCCCTGGAAACCTCGGTGGGCTCCGTGTGCTTCAAGGGGGCGCTTGGGACGGCCAGGCTTCTCAAAGCTTCGGCTCTGCTCTGTCCCCAGAACGCCCGGCCTTCCCCGCTCAGGCTCCTGTCACACCCCGAGGATGGCAGCACCTGCCCTGCCCCTTCCAGCCCTGTGCTCCCCTGCTGACCAGCTCGGGGGGCCTGCAGTGGGAGGGCCGAGCAGGCAGCCCCTCTGACTGCCCGTCAGTGGGAGAAGGGTTAAAGCCCCACCTTCACCAGTCAGACTATGGAAGCACACTAACTGCACTGGGGAGAGAAATGGGACCCCAGTCCTTGCCGAAAAACAAACCTGAAATTCTCCAGATAGTGGAAATTCCTTCCAAACAGATGATGAAAGCAACACAGTAGAACGCCACCTAACTATTCGTCAGAAGCCCTACAGTGGACACGCCGTATCAGTGCGTGAGAAAGCGTCTCACACATTTTAAGAGGAAAGAGGACCGACAGTACCTCACGCCCCCTACACCCGTGCTAAGCACCCAGGTGAGAATGCACCGCACGGGGGGTGGGAGGCCCAAGTCCGGGACAGGTTCGGGCCCTGCAGCCTCAGGTGGTGGGCGGCTCTCTTCCGCATCCTCCCCCCCAGCGCCCCGGAGGCTCAGAGATGATGAGAGGGTTCTGCACCCCAGACCATGGCATTATCAGGACTGTGGGTGCACGTGCTGATGAGGACTGGGAGACAGGCAAAACAGAGTTAAAGAATTTTAAGTTGATGCAATTGTTTGGCTAAATTATTTAATTGTATGACATCAATTTAAAAAGTTTTATAGTATCCTAGCAGAAAAATATACGGAGCCAAATTCCTCTACAAGACACTATTCCGGAGTCAGGGAAACGGCAGAGTAAGAGGATGAGCTGTCAGGCCACCACAGAAAGGGGGAGGTGAGGGCTTCCTCTCTTCCTGGAGCCTGTGTCACCCTCCTTCCCCCCGGCCCAGGACGTGACCGGGACGCTGGCCCAGGAATTGGGGTGGGTGTGCGAAGCAGCCGGCATCCTCTCCAACAGCCCCTGGGCCTCAGCGTCCCTGCAAACACACCCCGACACCCACAGAAACTAACCTACAGGGCAACTATGCGAAGAACCAGGAATAAAGAAAGGAAGGAGGCACGGCCCTGCCGTCACTGAGATCACACCCCAGTGAGTTTTGACATTTGTCTGAATATTCTTGAAATGAACACACTTCAGGGAGAGACGACCAACAGAGACAGATGCCACCGCTGTGCCGATGGCGGCCGAAGAGGTGCTTCAGAATCACTACATCACTCACTTTAAATACCATGGCTTGTCTTGAAGAGTAACAGTTACCCCAGACGACAATGCATCACTGAACTCCACGGTGTATTCACCACATGTCGCGTGGGTCTGAAACAACCCCAAGCATCGCCTGGTGTCCCAGGACTTCCTCTCAGCTCTCCTCTAACACCAGAAGGTCTGCAAGCCTTCCCTCACTGACTCAGTTTATAAAATGTCACCAGGTCCAATACGATCCAGCAATCCCCCTCCTGGGTCTACACCCAGAAGAACTGAAAGCAGGGTCTGAGGGAGGAATCTGTACACTTATGTCATTAGCAGAATTATTCACAGTAGCTAAAATGTGAAAGCAACCCAAGTGTCCATCAACAAATAAAATTTGGTGCATCCATACAATGGAATATTATTCAGCCTTAGAAAGGAAAGAAACTGACACCTGCTACAATGTGCACGAGCCTTGAGGACGTGATGTTCAGTGAAATAAGCCTGATACGAAACGACATATACTGTTTGATTCCACTTATGAGGACCTGGAGGAGTCAGATTCATGGAGACAGAAAGTAGAGGGTGGGGGCCCGGGGCAGGGGGATGGGGAGCAAGCGCTTCATGGGGACAGAGCTTCAGTTTGACAAGACGGAGGGTTAGGAGGCCGGATGGTGGTGACGGCTGCACAACACTGTGAATGTACTTCACGCAACCTTCAAAACCTTCTGTGCCCTTCAGGCCGAGCTCGGCCACCGTCTCCCTCAGGAAGCCCGTTCTTCTCTCACCCACTCTGTGCTGTTCGCAGGGCACTCGGCCTGCCGGGCTGGGATCAGGGTGCCTGCTCCCCTCGTCCCACACCAGAAGACCACCAAGCTCCCCCAAGGCAGAGCTACCTTGTCCACACGGGGACCCACAGCCCAGCCCAAGAGGTGGCCCAGACCACTGATGAGTGAACAGGTGTCCCACAGATCCCCAGAGTGACCACGGCTCTTCAGACAACGACTCCAACACTGGACTCGTCGAGTGTGTGTTTCTGCTGCCGACTGTCCTGCGGAAAGCACGGAAGCTTCCAAAGGAACGGGTGGTTTCTACCACCGTGGAGCTCCGAGTCTGCAAGGCGAGCGCTGAAGGCCTGGGCTCAATCCACAGCCCCACCTCGAGGCCGGGAAAAGCCGAGGTGCCGCACACCCAGGAGGCCCAGGGGAGGACTTCCGCGTGTACTGCCAGCTCCTCAGGAACGTGGTCTACTGTGACGCCCAAACACCAGGGAACCACCACACACTTACCACCAATTGCAGGCTCACAGCAAACCCTGCAGGGGGTTTGAACCAGATGTTCAAGAAGAGCCCTCCTGGACTAGCAGACACCTTCACCAGGGCAAGGCCACCGAACCTGACAATCCTGGTGAGTCACGTCCTCGACAGTGAGCATCCCCAGAGCTAAACCCACCAGCCGGGCCAGCGAGGAGGACCACACCCGAGCCCGGCCTTGCTGATGCGGGGAGTGCGTTCTGGGGACACTCCTCCACCTCACCGTCCCTGTTACTGCAAATCCTCGTGCCCGTGAGTGAGAAGTTAAAGGGACGGCTGGAGTTAAGAGCCAGCTTCTGTGACTGCGACCAGGACGCATGATTCACCTTCCACCTGATCTCAAATATGAAACCCTTATCAGTCGCCTTCCCTTCTCACGTGTCACCTAGTAAGAGAGCTCTCACCTTGTAAGGGCTTGTCTGCTAACCCCGCACAAATACAGCAAGGCCTAATGTGAAATTCAAGTTCCTCCTTTTTGCTGAAGACAACCACGAACCCTCCCTTCCTTGAACGGCGGCTCTGAGGTCCCGGCGTGGGCCCCGATGCCGCTCAGAGCCCCTCAGTGAGCATCCGTCCGTCCCTCCACCAGAATGACCACAGGGCAGGCAGAAGGGGCAGATGTGACCTTTTACTCCACCATTTCCTTCTCCACTTTTCATATTAAATATCTGAAATATATTAATCTTAAAAAACAATATTAACACAGCACTCGATGAACATAGGCAGTGGACCTAGACTGCAAAATCATAGGTTATTTTACAAACTAGGGCGTGGGCATGGTCAATTCCAGGCGCTCCCAGTGGCCTCACCAGCAGGAGCACTGTGGGACTCTGTGACGTGTCACAACGGGAGGGAAACGAAGCCGTAAAAAAATACACGTGGCAACCCATCGCGCCGAGCTCAGGAAGACGGCGGCGGGAACACAGGCCCTGTGCTCAGGCTTAGAGTAAAGGCATGAGCGTGTGGTCTGTTCCGCTTTGTTCTGGTTTTGGTATTTGGGATTTTCTCCTAATGCCTTCAGTCTCTAAGTAGATTTTCAGGCTTGGGGTAGCCAAAGAGCACAAAATCTGCTTCGTAGAGTTTGTAAAGCTGCTGCCTCCAGGCCAGGGGGATTTTGGAGAACCAGTCCTCCTCCCAGCTGCTGGCAGTTCTGTTCCGGTAACTCGGGGGGAAATGGAGCAGCTTGTCCACCTTGAGGAGCCGGAGCAGCTGGGCGGCGTCCTGGTCCAGCGTCTCCAGCTTGCCCACGAAGTCGTAGTCTATCTGGCAGGGGTGGCAGAGGCGGTGCACTTGCCGCCAGTGTTCATTGAAGGGCGCCAGCTTCTCGGTGTGGGGGTCCAGCAGGTACTGGATGAAGTTGGCGAAGGACACCTTGAGGCCCGCGCTGAAGGCCTCGCTGACCGAGGCGGGCAGGCTGGTGTGGTTGGAGTACATCCTCAGCATGGGGACGGCGAACTTGCGGTAGAACTCCTCGTTCTCCAGCTCGAACTTGCTGCGGAAGGCCGAGATGAGGCGCACGAAGGGGTCCCGCACGAACAGGAACTTGGTGTACTTCTTCAGCTTGACCTTCATGAGGTGGCGGGAGAACTTCCCGTAGCGACGCCAGAACTTGCTGAAAGTCAGGTGGGTGCTGGAGTTGTGGACGTACTCCCGGGGGATGTCCAGGGGGTCGCGGTAGGGGACGCCCCGGTCCGAGAGGCTCTGGCTCAGGACGATCATCACGCGCTTCCAGTTGGTGCAGGCCGCCTTGGGCACGTAGCAGTAGATGACCCCATGCCGGTCGTCCACGATGAGGTGGTTCAGCTCGTAGTTGGGGATGTCATCGAAGGAGCGCTCCTTGGTGGGGAACACGAAGCTGGTGTTGGCGCAGAGCTCCCTGAGCACGCTCCTGCGCTCGGCCTGCCGCCCGTCCACGTCCGGGCTCTGCGGGGCGCCGTGGCTGGACCAGTCGTAGCCCCGCACGCTCTCCTCCATGTTGCCGGGCGCGGGCCTGCTGGAGGCCAGCAGTGGGGGCTGCTCCGCCCTCTTCCCGGGGAGGACGCTCTGCTTCACGCCAGCACTGAGAAGCTTCTCCAGAAACGCGTCCACATCGGAGGCGAACTCCTTTTCGTCTGCCCGGCCGGTGGGGAGGGCCTCCAGCGGGTGCGGCCTGGAGAAGGAGGTGGGCAGGGAGAAGTGGGCGGTGCCCACGCTGTCCCAGTACACGATGATCAGGAGGATGGTGAAGACAGAGCCCAAGACCAGCCACAGGCGGAAGAGCCGGCTTTTGGTCATCCTGTCCCTGGACGCAGGGCCTTTCCCCTGGATCCTTTCACGTCAGCTTCATGTAGAGCCTGGACGCTGTGCGCTGAGGAAGCTGGAAGGCAATAAAGGCCACGTTAAAGACCAAGGTCCTCCCGCAGCCTGCGGACCTGAAGAAACGGTGCCTGCTGCAGTCTCAGCCCAGTGTCCCCACTTCTCCCTCCCCCGCCCCTGCATGAGGTCGACTTTGTGTGGCTGCCTGGCGGGGGGGGGGGGCCCTTCTCTGTGTGATGGACCCCGCGCAGCTTAGGAAGGCCCAAAGGAACAGGAGATCCCTATCACTGTGCTGAAAGGTGGCTGCCCAGCCCGGTGGGAACACAGACCCTCGTGAAGAAGGGGTACAAGGATGAAACAAGAGGCGGACGGCAAAGCAAAACACAGTAACAAGAAGGTAAAGCGCAGAGCACGTGGCGGTTTGTAAAAACGATGAAGCGCCTCACCCCGCCCCACACCCCTTTTCTGCGTACACTTAATCCAAACAGCGAGAGCAAGTGGTGCGGGCTTCTGGTGGCTCCAGGCTTCTCCCGGCTGCGGCCCCTGGTGAGGGCAGCGGCAGCAGCGGGGCTGTTCAGGGCGTGCCAGGCTTCAACTGTCTGGAGGGCTGTCCCGTGCAAGAGGGAGCTGCTTCGGAAGGTGAAACTCAGAAACTCGGCTGCGCCCAAGGAAATTATTAAAGTTTAATATATGTAATGAAATATTAATATTTAATATAAAATTTATAAATAATCATGTGGCCAAAATGCAGAATGGGCTGTTTTTTAAGCCGTTCTAGGATCTCTGTCACCGCAGGCATCAGAGCACAGACAGAGCACGTCTTGGGGTGTTCAGGGGAGCCTGCGCCACGCACCCTCTTGGATGTCTCCCAGGGGACGCTTCTTTGAGACCGTATTTCTCATATGCACTCAGCTCTGTACCTGGTATCTAACATATTCTCATTAAATGAACCTAAAAGTTTATCAGGCAGAAAAACTTGGGTACAATCTCTACCCAGCTCTGGGGCTTTTGTTTACTCTTAGTTCACTTTTTTAAATGGAGAAAGTAAAACATACGCACAGTAAAGAGGTCAGCAGGCAAAAGGTGGTGAGGACTTTTACAGGAAAGGGGCTAAAACCAGCATCGACAGAGGAAAGAACAGTCTCTGGTCATCGTCACCTTTGTGTAGTGTTTCCTGAGCCCCCAGAGCTCTCAACGTGCCCTCACGGGAAAAGGAAGAGCAAAGAAACCTGGTGACCCCTGCCCTGGGGGGCGGCGATCACCGGCTCAGTGCGGCCGGCGGCGCACGAGTCACACAGCTGGGTGTTCATCACACACTCTATGTTTAGTACATGATTATTACACACTATAAAGGCAATATGCACATTACAAAAATCATGAAACACTACTGGATTCCAGGTGAGATACCCTGCCGTCTCTTGCACGCCTGCTGCTCTACTCCAGCTGGATCCCTGCGAGTGGGTCGTGGGTGTGAGTGGAGTAAAGACAGGCAATATGGCAACAGCTTTTAATTCCCCTTTAACAGCTATAATCACACCATTTTACAGCCTACTTTTAAAGCTAGATCATAAATACCCATGTCATTAAAGTTTTTAAGACCATCCCTTCTCAAAGATGTAACAGGGTGAATAGTTTCTAAATATGAAGGTGAAACCATACCAAAAAAAAAAAGGTTTAGCTGAAGGCTGAGAAAGCAGCAAAGGGGAGAGTCACTTAAAATGTCACCTGGTTTAGGAGGTCAGCGTTCAGGTTTAAGATCAAGGCTAACACAGTGCGGAGACGACGCAGAGTCACAGCCCTGTCTATGGACACAGGCAGGGCCACAGCTCCAGGGCCGCCACCGTCACGTTCACAGTGCGAACACCACACACACGGGCTCTGGGCCTGGTAACCTGAACACCTTCAAGTATTTCGCAGCCAAGAAGCAATGTGTGCACATTAACAAACACCAGTGCCTACAACGCTCTGTAAAAACCCTGACTCTCTTGACAATAACTTAATACGACTTCAGTTTAATTGCGAGGAAAAGACATGGTCACATATTTTTAGGAAAATTTATACATACAGACGATATCTTTTTAATAGCAGTTGCTAGTTAACGTGCTCTCACCATGTGTCAGGCAGTAAGACGAGCACTTCACACACGTGCGTTACTGCACGCCCTCTGCACACCCTCCCAGGGAGGACAGGTAACCCTCCTCCAGCTGAGGAAACTGAGGCCCAGGGGTGTCAGATCAGCATCTGAATTCAAGTGTGACTCTAAAAGTCAAGCCCCCCACACACTCCCTCAGCCTTCTTACTGTTAAAGGTGAGTAACTCTTTCTCCTAAGCAGCTTTGCTGAGGTGTAACCGACCCACAATGAGCTGCGCTTACGTAACGTACAGTGTGATGAGTGCGCGTGCATCCAAGACGCCGTCACCACCATCAGGCAGGGAACATCTCCATCACCCCCAAAAGCTCACTGGGGCCCTTGCAATCCTCTCCCCCAGCCCCACTCTCCTCTAGCAACTGCTGCTCTATCTTCTGTTACTATAAATTAGTTTGCATTTTCTAGAGTTTTCTATAAATGGAATCACTCAGTGTGTAATCTGAGATTCGTCCACATGGTTGTACACACCAACAGTTCCTTCCCTTCTGTACGCGAGTGGTATTCCGTTGTAAAAAGTATTTATGCAGTAATCTGGGTAGGATCACACTTACACATGCACACGCACACACACCCAGGTTTCCCCAGCCCTCCCCAGGGGCTGAAGTCATACATGCAAGTTTCTCCTCCTTCAAAGCTCCATCAGGTCAACAGCGGGGGCCTGGCAGGATCACGCTTCCTCAGAAGGTCAGGCGCCGACCTCTGCGACAGCCACAAACAGCAAGGCTTTCCTGGCTTTTCTGATGCAACAGATACGAAGGCTCTGGTCCTTGTATCTCTGGTCCTTATATCTCTGGTCCTCTTATCTCTAGTCCTTGTATCTCTGGTCCTGGAGGCAAAGGGCAGCGAACAGAGCAAGGCTCACAGCGGGAATGAGTTCCTGCTCAGATCTGACATCAGCCTGGAACCAGCCCTGGACGCCCCGCCAGCCCAGCCGGTACCCCGGCAGAGGCGGGGCAGCCTCACTTGACATTCCTCTGCTAGCTGTCCTGAGTGTGGTCTTCTCTGAATAAGAAGACACCTAATTAGATTAAAGGGACTCTAATTTTTTCCTCGTTTGGTGTATTAGCCCCAAACACTATAATCCTTTAGTCTTTAATAGATTCAATGTCTAAAGTTTTGTTCTTAGTAAGTGACCACCCTGAGTAAGATCGGGCACTGCTGAGTCCTCTGGATGAGGAATCAGGAGCCCGTGTTTGGGTCGGGCCAGCAGCAGGTCCCCCCCGGGCCCTTTCCTCATCAGCACAGTGGACTGCAGCTTTATTTTTTTTTTAACAGTGAGTCAGTTAACTGACTTATATTGAGATTCCTAACTTACAACAAACAAACTAGACCACTCAGTGTGACCTGTGCAGCCTCTCCCTGTGGACAGCTGCAGGGAGAACCAGCAGGTCATGATCAGGCTGTGTGCTGCGCATGGGCGCCTCGACCACCACCCAGCTCCAAGTGTCAGTAAATACCCCTGGATGGTGGGTATTTGGGTGAGTCTGACCCACTTCTTTATCGTTTTCTGTATTTAAGCTTATTTTTGTTTATATCGAGCATTTCTTGTTCTTACTATCCGAAAAAACTATTTTCCTTTTAAAAAAGATACACAGCGATAAGAATTAAAGGCGTTAACAACAACAGAAAAACAGGCAAACTGGTCTTTATACAAATCAAGACTTTTTTGTATCAAAAGGCACTATCAACAGAGTAAAAAGGCTCTCACAGGATGGGAGAAAATATCTGCAGATCATATACTTAACAAGGGGTTAATATCAGAATATATAGAAAACTCTTAAAACACAAGAAAAAAAATTAACCTGATTCAAAAATGAGCAAAGGACTTGGATCACCCTTTCCCTGAAGAAGACACAAGTGGCCGATCAGCACATGAAAAGATGCTCAACATCACTGCTCCCCAGGGCGCTGCAAACCGAGACCACAAGGAGACACCACCTCACACCTAGCAGGATGGCTACTGTTTAAAAAAAATTCCCAAACAGAAAAGCAGCAGCACTGGTGAAGACGTGGAGCAGCTGACACCCTTGTGCGCTGTTAACCGGACTGTAAAATGGCAAGGCCACTGTGAAAGCCAGTATAGAAGTTCTGCCAAAAAAAATAGAACCGCTGTATAAAATTAGCACATGACCCAGCAATTCCACTTCTGGGACTATACCCACAGGAACTGAAAGCAGGGTCTGGAAGAGATATTTGCAAACCCATGCTCACAGCACTTTTCAGAGCAGCCAAAAGGTGGAAGCAACCCATGTCTGTCGGTGGGTGAGTGGTAAACAGAATGTGGTCCGTCCCTACCATGGAGCACTCTCAGCCTCGGAAAGGAAGGAAACTGACACCTGCTGCAACATGGATGGACCTTGAGGACACCATGCTCAGTGAAATAAGTCAGACACAAAAGGACAAATGCTGTAGGATTCCACTTACATGAGGTCCCGGGAGGAGTCAAATTCATAGAGACAGAACGTCGGAGGGGTGGGGGCCATGGGCTGGAAGAGGGGGATGGAGATTCAGTGTTTAAAGGGGACAGAGTCTCAGTTTGGGGAGATAAATGAGTTCTGGAGATGGGTGGTGGTGATGGTTGCACGACAATATGCGTATGCTTAGTGTCCTGAACTGCACACTTGAAAACGGTTAAGGTGGTGAATTTCATGTTATGTGTACTTTACCACAGTAAAAAAAAAATGGAGAGGAAAAAAACTAGAGCTGTAACATTGGACTTGGAGGAATTTCCAAGAGGCATTGTTGAATAAATAAAGTTTAAAATGCAAATACACAATGCAGTGTGTGAAAAACAAATAAGAAAAGGCCTAAATATGGTGGAGGAGTGTAACAGAGGGTAAACTTGGAGCCTGCTGCTGAAGCCACAGGCTTGCACCGAAGTCCCACAGGCTGACTTCACCTGCCATTTGCTGCTCGAACA